ATACAGAGGCAGCAGCGTGGGATGGGCAGGGGGCTCTCCGCAAGTGGAGCCAGGAGCGCACTGGCTTCTGGCCTTGCTGTAAGCACTGGTGGATCACAAGGGCTATTTCACCGACATCAGTGTGAGACTATTGGGAAAGGTGCATGATACGTGCATCTTTAAGAACCCCTGCCTCTTCGGCAAGCTGGAACTTTCTTCCCAAATTGAAAAATTACCATCAGCAGCATTGAAATGTCAATAGTGATCCTTGGCAACCACGTTTACCTCTTACTCATGAAGTCTGGATCCAAGTAAGGAGCAGTTCAACTACAGGCAGAGCAAGTGCAGAATGGTGGCAGCGTGTGCTTTTGGGCATTTAAAGGGAAGGTTCTGCAGTCTGACTAGTTTAGACCTCAGGGAACACAACATTCCCATTGTGATGTCAGCCTGCCATGTGTTCAATAATATTTGAGAGAGTTAAGGGGAAAGTTTTGTATGGCAGGATGGGGGGGTTAAGGCACAGCACCTAGCCAGTGACTTTTGAGTAGGCAGACACCAAGGCAATAAAGAGAGCACAGCGAGGGGCACTGCAAATCAGAGAGGCTTTGAAAGACCATTTTATGAACGGCCAGATTTTAGTCATGCATATTGCTCTTAACAAGGTGCCCTTGCAACCAGTGTACTTGCTTGTAAACCTTTCTCCCCCTCCCTCCCACTTCAACACAAGCAATGAAGAGACTGTTCAAAAAATCAAGCAGGGATAGAAAGAGTTCATGGCAGGAGCTTAGGAAGGGTTGTGTGTGTGATCACAATTGTCAAGACAGTCTTTTGCTTCAAAATCTATCCCTGGGGGTTGTGTGAGGCTGCCTTTAACTTTTCCCCTCCCCGCTTGCTATCTAGGGCCTTTGGGAGAGGAAGCTATAAAACTCAGTGAGGAGGGAATGTGGTTCCAAAAGGGCTGGAGGGGAACCTGTGCATATAGCTATCTTGGAAGGCTGCCATGCAGCTCACTTATGTAATGGTTTTCAAGACTTTCTCCTGGTTCTTCAATTCCAGCTCCCTGCACACTGTCCAGTCCTCATGCTTTATTCTTATCTCCAGCAGCAGCATATTCCTCCACTTGCTTAAGCGCCCCCTGTCCAAGCAGGCAGATTGCATTTATTCTTAGTCCATTTTCACTTGCAGATCTGTGCAAGCCAGACAGCTGGCAGAGCTGGGTGAATGTACAGCATGCTCACTGCTGTTCTGACTGTAACAAAAAGTGAAGGGTAGACTTTAAAGGAGATAACATGGTAGAGCATTAAACCTAATGGCTGTGTCTACACTGGGCTACTTATTCTGGAAAATCAGCCGCTTTTCTGGAATAAGCTGCGAGCTGTCTACACTGGCCCTTGAATTTCCGGAAAAGCAACGATGCTCTACTGTACAAAATCAGCCACTATTCCGGAAAAACTATTCTGCTCCTGCTCGGGCATAAGTCCTTATTCCGGAACACTGTTCCAGAAAAGGGCCAGTGTAGACAGCCCAGTAGTCTTTTCCGGAAAAAAGCCCCGATTGCGAAAATGGCGATGAGGGCTCTTTTCTGGAAAAGCGCGTCTACATTGGCCACAGACGCTTTTCCGGAAAAAGGGCTTTTCCGGAAAAGCAGCCTGCCAATGTAGATGCTCCTTCTCCAGAAAAACTGAAAACGGAATAGTATTCCGTTTTAAGCAGTTCCGGAAATTCATGCCAGTGTAGACACAGCCAATATGTTTAGTATAAATGGTAGGTCTATCTAGAGACAATAGGGATGTGTTATGTACAAGGTCTCAGTTACGCTTTTAAGAGCCCTGCTATGCAGCAGGTACACCACAAAGTTCTAAGGAGAGTACTTGGACTCAGTTTGATGGCAGGCATGGTAAGGGACCGGCTGGGTCTCAAGCCTGTGGGGAAGGAAGGGTCCCGGGTGATGTGGCAGGGCAGGAACTCATCCAGTGACCGTGTGTCTGACAGCCCTGTTTGCTTGGAGAGTGTATCTTCCTCTTCCCATAATAGCTTCCCATTTCATTGAGCTTGCCATGTGAGATACCAGTCTTCTCTGAATCACAGAGTGATAAGGAATGGATTCTGACTAAATATGGCCAGAAACTTGGACCTTGTTCTGTAATGCTTTGTGCTGCAATGATGCCAGAACACTTACTGCTGACTTGACATGGAAAGGTGTCCTATTATGGAGGACGAAATAAGGCAGGCCTGCTCAGAAACTTTGTGAGGAGGATGAAAGAGTTCCACTATGAGAGCTTTACGGAGATGTGCAGGTCTCCAGACCTGTTAACAAGCTATTGTGGGGAGCCCCTGTTGTGTAGCCACAGTGGCTGCCACAAATCATACTCTTCTCTTAACCCGCTTGTAGCATTATGAAAAATGTGAACAACCCAGAAGTGCCCTCCTTGGGATTAGTGCCCGGCTGTGAGATGTCCATGGAGAAGGGGATTGTCTCCAAAGTTATAAAAAGGTCCTGGCTATTGGTTACCTCACTCGCCTGCTGAATAGGGATGAAATAATATAGTCGATTTAACTGATAAGCAAAAGCTTATAGGTTAATGCTATAGACTATATGCATTTCCCTCTCCCCTTCTCCCTGTCAGTAAGTTTTTTAGCAGGCTGGCCAGCAGCCTGGCTCAGTCCTGCCTTGCAACAGGTCCAAGACCCGCTTTGCTGCAGTTCTGCATTTAAAGTATATTAGGAGCTGAGTGGGCAGGCAGCCCAGCTCAGTCTTGGCTCATGCTGGGTCTGGACCTATCCCCGTTTCAGCTCTGCATTTCAAGTGTATTAAGAGCCAGCCAGATGGGCAGACAGCCCAGTTCAGTTCTGGCGTGTGCTGGGTCCAGGCACTCAGACCTGCCCTAGTCAGGGACTGTTGCCACCCAGCGCTGCTGCTGCTTTCTCAGAAGGAGCAGCGCAGGATGACATGAAGCTGGCTCCCCTCGTGGACCAGCTCCCACCTGGCACCCCGCGCTGTTGCCTCTGATACAGTGGTTGCTGGCCCTTCCCCCGGGAACTGCAGACTAGTCCACTAACCGATAAAATTTCATGAGGTTACTCGACTATTCAGTTAACCAATATTTAACATCCCTACTGCTGAATCCTCTTCCTCATCCATGCTGGTGTCACAAGCTGCCAGAGGAGTGTCTTGGGAGGAATCCACAGACTTACTAGGGAAGCTGGTCGGTTCCCCTCCTAGGATTGCATGTAATCGCTTATAGAAGTGGTGTGTTTGCGGTGGTAACCCAGACCATCCGTTTGCTTCCTTTGCCTTCTGGTACAACTGCCTCCTCCTCTTTATTTTCACATGGCACTCTGGGCGTCCCTGGCATATCCTTTCTCCTCCATACCTCTTACAATCTTGGCATAGATATCTGCATTCTTTTTGCTGGTTCACAGTTGTGCGAGAACAGAGTCCTTTCCCCAAGCACCAGTGTGATCCAGGATTTTCTGCACACTCCATGCTGGTGGTAGTCTGTGACACTGGGAGCTCATGGTCAGGTGTGCTGCTCAGCTGTGCTGCCTGCTCTAAAGTCTGCTAGCCATGCTGACCACGCAGGAAATGAAATTCAAATTTTACCAGAGCTTTTTCTGTTCATCCAGAGATCATTAGAGTTGAAAGTCCTGGCTAAAGTGGTCACAGCAGGTCACTGTGAAACATCTCCCAAAGGCCAAGAACATTAACTTTCACAGCACTGTGTCTGCAGTACTGTAAAGTTGATCATGCAAGGTCAAATTTAGTGTTCCTGTTTGTGAAAATCGGGAGTATTGAAATCGACTGTAATGGCCTTTAAAGTCAATGGAATGAGTGGACTTGGTGGTGTGGACTTGTTTAGAAAATGGACGTAATGTGGCTAAGTACACTGGGAATTTAGGTCAGAGACCAGTCTTAAGAGGGAATAAGCCTTTCCCATTTTTATGTGCATGGCTAACTTGTGCTCACTTTCACCAATTTATATTCTTAGTTGCTCATGTGATTAGATACTTATGCAAAGGGCTCACCAAGTGGCGGTGAGCCCTGCTTGCCAGCCACGTGGTTCTGTGCATGCGCAGATTGCTCTGCGCCAGCTCTTCTGGGTTGTAATCTACTTACCATGGGTGAGTAGATTTACGTTATTTGTCAAGCCCTGCTTATGCAGATAATATAATGTTCTATTATACTTCATAAGGCCCAAGATAAAGCAACATAAACTCTCATAAATAAGCCAACCACTGAGAAATTAGGAAGACTTTCCTGTGAATTGTTTATTCCATAATTGTTCAGCAAGGGGTTTCCTGCATCTTGCTCTGATGCTGGTGTCATAAACAGAATGACAGACTAAGAATGTTAGTCTGACTTGGGACAGTTATTCCTATATTCTTATGTACATGCAGGAACGCTAGTGTACACTTGTTCAGTCATGTGCACACATTCATGCTTCCTCTTGTACAGGTGCTCAAGCTTGCATCTGCTTGCATGCTTACTTGTGCTTTCTTAGGCATATTCTCCCATGTATGGAAAATAGTAAATGCAGTACTAATTTAGGTCAGTGGTTTATCTAGTTTGGTAGTTGGTATCAGTACCTAGCAAAAGGGAATTGCCAACAAGGAAAGTGGCTTGTGGTTGTGTGTTTTTGTTTTTGCTAACCCCATTAGTTTGGCTTGTATCCTGGAGCATGGAAGTTTCTCTAATGCTTTTATTTAATCCCTAAAACAGAGCTGGTGGGTGGGTGGATGGGTGGTCATGCTAAATTGTACTGTCATACATGCTCCTGCTTATTGCATGTTGTTCTTGCACTCTTGTAAGTACTCCTATCCTCTGTTGTTTGTGTTCATGTATGCACTCATGATCTCTTGCTCCTCTGGGTGTTCACATATGTGCTCATTTGCTTGATGTGCATGACCTATGAAGTCACCCATGCTCTTATTAACATGGAAACTCAGGAGAGCAGTTGCGAATGAGTGCAGTCCCTGCTTAACATTGTTTTTTCTTTTTTTCTCTCCCCATCCCCTCACAGCACTGATGGCCAATGTGGAGGATCTGATTATTAAGACGATTATTTCTGCTGAGTTGGCCATTGCCACGGCCTGTAAAACCTTTCTTCCACATCGTGGCAGCTGCTTTGGTAAGGAACACAGAGGTTTTCTGAACATATGAGGCTATTGCAGGTTCCATTTTCTACTGGGTGTTGATGTTGCCTGCTGCTTCCAGTCCAGGTGTTGTGTGGAAAAACTTGGACAGAGGGAAATTTGGGTTTGACTGTCTGCGTAGACATCCCAGACTGTGGGATTGACCCCAGAATCACTGCCCCCCATAGGGGCTCTATGATGGGAGGAGTTGTGAGGTTCTGTGATGAGAGGAACAGGACTTCAGTTCAGTGGGAGTCTGCAGGGTGTTGAGCTAGCAACTCCAGCATGTCCACTAATGATCCTGGAAAGGCGTGGGGGGGAGTGCTGAGCAAACATTTGGTATTGGTACCTAGAAGGAAGGCTTGTTACATATGGGTGTTGGTGATGCCTGGTGGGCTTGTTTTTGTATGACTGTACCACATGGTGGTGGAGGCTGTATACAGAGTTGTGTTGGCAAAGGGTTTTGAGAGCTTGCTGGCAGGGGAAGCTTGGAACCGCTCCAAAAAGCTGTGGCTGGTATCAGTGCATGCCTCCTACTGTTTTCCAATGGTAGCTACTCAGCCTTCCCCAAGGTGGCCTCCTGCTCTCTGCAAATACAGAAGGCAAGAGTCCCAGAGCAGAAGATTGCTGAATGCAGAATTAGTTTTGTACTGAGTCACTACTTGCACTAAAAGTTACTGGTAGCTCAGACTATCCTGTGTTTGGTGACCAAGGGGAATAGGCTGTCTCTTCTGCTGTCCCTCTGCTGTGCTTTTTTTGAAGTTTGGCAGCACTACGTATGTCTCTGCATAGTAACATTAATGCTGCCCATTTTTGGGTCCTGGGACCTAACAAGATGGAGTAAAAAGCCTAGGCATGTATGATAACAGGTGGTAGGCTACCTCCAGCTTGCAGGACCTCTGCTTTTCTGTGCAGCATTGATCTCTTCTTTCACAGTCACTGAAACTCTTGGATCTATTTGGAAACATAGCAGTCAAATGGATTTGTTTTTAGTGAAGTACCTACTCAAAAAATACCAGCACCCTAATAGAGATGTGGCCATCCCCCCCTGTGTTTCCTCCTCCTCCTTCTTCTTTCAGCCCTTTTCTTAAGTTTATTCTGACCTACTTGTAGGAGAAGCTCTGATGCTCCTTACATCCTCTATGTTGGGTCTGGCTTTGAGGTTATCCCACTTCCTGCTGCCTCCCTAGGACTGGACTTAATAACCCTCTTGATTGCTTCCCTTGCCTCCCACAAGCTGCTGTCCCACAGACAGATTTTCATTCAATTTGTTTGAGTATAAACATGGATTAAGAGCTTACACAGGAGCCATGCTGCTTCTCAAGGAAGCTAGAGGCATTCCTTGAGTTTCATACTTGCTGCCACCTTCCTTCCCCTTTCAGCCAAGTGGTTGGCTATTGTTCTGAGGACTCTTGAGCTGCCCCTTACTTTCCTCCATTGTCCAATCTTCATCCCATACCCTGTTCTCTCCCTTTGATGCCTTGCTTCTGCTGTGTCAGTTTACAGCAAAGATGCTGTTGCCAGCTGGGGATGTTCTGCAGTCATGAATGTTTGTGAGGAAACTGAATGAGACAGGAGGATCAGAAGGTGGGATCCCTTTGGAGGCCACTTTCTCTGTGCTCCTTCCTCTATTTTGATAGCAACAATACAGCCTGGCAGTGATGCACTGGGAGGGATGGACAGATCATATAACTGATATAATCAGTCAAGCCTGTCTATTAGATCTTTGTGCCTTACTGGTGTTTCTCCATGATCTCTCCAATCTGGTCATACTGCAGAACTTTACCCTTTCCTTTGTTGGGAAGGCTGGCCTATTGTGCTCCTGGCTCAGTCTTCCATGGTGCTTCAGCTACAAGTCTTCCCCATGCCATCCTGGTTCTCACATTTTTTCTCCATCTCTCTGACAGTATCTCGCTTCTACCTGATTGGAGTATTGTTCAGGCCTTTAGGAGACTATCGGCAATGAATGTGCAGGCTGGCCAGTTATTGCCAGAGTCCTAGTAGCTCCTGCCTACTCAAGAGCAGTTTCACTGACAGATCTGAAGTTCAGAATGGAAGAACATTGTAGGAGGCTGTGTAAATTTTATTGCAGCCATATTTGTGCATGGGACTGGGGAGAGGTAGGAGGAGCACAAAGCTGTGAGAACTTGGTGCTTTGATATGTGCAGCTGCCAGTTGATGCTCCTGCTAGCTGTGGCGGTTTCTAAATGGATCTTAAGTTCTCACTTAATTTCACTTGAAGCGTAATTTTATCCTAACTGGTGGTTCTCAGGGAGACTGAATCGTGGGGCTCAGAACTGATACTGCCTGTATCTGTTCACTAGCTAAGCTGTGAAGTCTGAGCCCATGCCACTGACTGCTCCAGATTGTTCTCTAAAGAAGACTTTTCTCTTGTAATGGAATTGATATGTTAGAAATAAGCTTATGAGAGAAATTTTGTCTTCTGGGGCATTTGCACTTTCTGACTGCATCTAGAGTAGAAAGGCCCACACAAAGTGACAAACTTGGTTTCTTTCTGAGGCCTCTTTCCTAGTGGTGAGGGCTCTTCTGCCTAATCAGGTTTAGTTTTTTAGCTCCTTCATCCATCCTGAAGGATCCCAAAACTTTATGCAGACAATTGTTTTCCCTAACACTAAAACACATCAGTATGGTATGTGATGTGATGTCTGGTCATCCGTGCATAGCACTGCTCTAAAATTTAAGGCAGGAAATAAAGAGGGAAAAAAAAGTCATATCCAATCAAAATTGCAGGGGGAATTTGGGACAGAAGTAATTACTTGAGCTAGGGTTTGGCCAGAATCCCAGGACTAACTCAACTACTGTGAAAAGAATCATGGGATCCTTAATGGGCACAAATAGTCAGGCCCTTGATTTTTTTTATCTCATTCCAAAGTCAGCATTTATGAGCATAAATAAAGTGACCCTTGTCATCCTATTGGGGCCTTGCTTTGACTTTGAACCAGCGGGGAGAAGGTGCTATTGTCTTAGTAGGTGGCACTTTCTGAACCACTCTGAATTTTCTGTGAGAGAGGTGAAGGAGGGGGTCTCTCCATTGAAGCGATGACCTAGTTTGGCCCTATGTATCTTGAGAGAGATGACTGAATCAGAGACCTAGGTTGTCTGGCTGCAGACATTATATATACATTCTCACTAAGTGTTCATTTGGCAGGCAGTTTGGAAAATGCCAGTATTTTAAGGTCAAAGCAATACAGTCTCTGCATTCAGGGAGATGTCCTGCTCCTTGAACCTAATAGAAGAAATGGACACACCCTCTCTTCTGTATTCCTAAAAGGCAGAGGAGGAAGGTCAGACTAGCATCACATGGAAGCAAATGTAGTCTAGAGATAAGGGGCACAAGTGTTAGTTTTGTCCAAACAGAGACTCTAACAAGTTGACCTGTGTTTTGTGCAGCTTCTGGAAAGGCTGTAAGATACTGGCTCTGACTGACAGTACAGATTAACTTTCAGGGTTGATGGGATAGTACTTTAGGAAGCCTTCTGCAGAGGTGATTCAGTATGAGGAGGCAGTGGCTTTGGGATACATGGTTCAAGTCAGTTAAAGGATTCTTTGTTTTAGCCTCCTGGAGTTTTGGCAGGCTATGAAAGGCCTCACCCTTGTGCCAAGGTCAACTTTGAAGCAAACCTATAAACCTTTCCTTAGGGGGATGGTGTGAACGCAGCAGGGTCAAGGCTCTCTTGCTGTAACCCTTCTCTGCATTCATTGAAGCATGAGCCTGAAGAAGAGGCAGTATAATGGGTCCCCACTCACTTTTGGCAGAGGTGAATCCAGCAGCTAAGATGTTGCATTGTTTCCACACACAGAGGAAGGTCAGAATACTCAAGATATTTCTTGCTCTTGGCAGTATAAAAACAAGATGCCTTGAGGAAGAACAACTTTGAGAGGGTGTTCTAGGGCTGATTTGCTCTGGAAAGTACTGCTAATAAGCTTTCATGGGTTTCTCAAGGTGGTGTAGTAGAAACAAGACACTCATTCATACTCCTACTACACTCTAGACCAGGGCAACTCAACTTTGGAAGCCCTGAGGGCCACAACGATACTCACAGCCCATACCAAGGGCCACAACTTACTGTGATTGCATATACATTCTTTCACACTGACAGGCATAAATACAAAGCATTTCCCACAATGCCCCTGCGCTCCCAGCACCTTCTCCCTGGGGGCTAGAAATACCAACACCCTGTATCCCTCTGTTCCAGCCAGCCTGGTGCTTCCATCTTTCAGTGATCACCCAGACTGGGAGATGCCACGCCATTGTAGAGTGTGCTCCCAGTGAGGCCACGTTCAAAGGCTTCCACCTGTGGGCAGCATATTGAGCCCCATATAAATCCAAACCACACTGTGGGCTGCAAACAAATGGGCTGCAGGCAGCATGTCGAGTAGCCCTACTCTAGACACACCTGCTACTGCAGGGGTGGCCAACCCGTTAAAGGTAAAGAGCCACAATAGTTGGGGATATAGCGTAAAGAGCTGGGGGGAAAAAGTTGCTGAGCCAAAAAAAAAAAAAAAAGCCCCAGATGCATTTGGTCAATAAAAAAGGACGCTGCTCCTTTAAATGAATCTCCAGATGGCTTTTTGGTCACATCAGGCTCCCGTCGGATGGCACCATTTTGCTTTGCTGTGCTGGATGGTGAAACACAGGAAAATAGGCCGAGGGCTGTTTTTAGGGGCACAGGGGCAGCTTCGTGAGCCATCGGGGAGGCTTCGTGAGCTGCACCTGAAGGGGGGGGAAGAGCCACATGCAGCTTGCGAGCCGTGTGTTGGCCAGTCCTGCGCTACTGGTTGATTATAGTGAAACTTAATCTTATCATGATCTCTCATTGGGTATTGCATCTTTCTTGTCCATTGTTTGGCTATTACCACTCCTCAGTGTAAATTCCGTTGGGTATAATGGGTTTCCTCGCTTGTGAGAACTTGTCTGAGTACAGGCAGTCCCCGACTTACGCGGATCCGACTTATGTCGGATCCGCACTTACGA